ATGCTTTAGATGGCTTCGCTTGCCTTTTGGCTTGAAAGTATCCTGTGAGATTTTTCAGAAGCGACTCATGCAAGCATTAGATGATCTACCCGGTGTGTTTTTTTGTAGCGGATGCAGTGTTAGTATTTGTTGCTACCCGAGAAGAACCCGATCGCCACCTTCACCAGTTTCTGCAACACTGCAACGAAAGACATATCAAATTGAAGCGCGCGAAACTTGAGCTGCGCAAAACCGATGTCGTATTTCATGGACATGTGTTGAGTTCGGAAAGGTTGCAACCGGATCCGAGTAAAGCCAGGGTCATAAACGAAATGCCTACCCTAACGGACACGAAGGCTGTTAGCAGATTGAACGCAACAAGACGGACCTTAGCCTGGTGCGACGGTTTGCGTACCTTATGACCATTGAGCTATACTGGGTGATGCCTCCGGGCACTTGAGAGCTACTCCTACCAGGTTGGTCAATGGTGAGAGGTCAGACAAACTCTGTCTCCTGGTCCTCCCAGTTTGGGGTTTCAAATGGGATGGCGTCCATTTCTGTAGAACTTAATCATTGCCACCTCCCGCTGCCTTGCGGACAGGCTTTTGAGCCTAAGCTTTGGTTGAGGAACCAATCGTCCTTCTGTCTAGGTCTGGGCGCCCTGGCAGTATCTCAGCCCACCTACAACCATGACATTTTCTTTAAACATTAACTTCATCCTGCATCGGCCGTCGCGCAGATTATCAAGGGTAGCCTTAGCTGCTGCATACAGCAGGACGGATAAGCGAAAACATGCTACTGCTGGTGCCTCCCTTCTTTCTTTTCCACCTTTTTCTCTTACTCCCATCCCGACCCCCATTACTAACAACTTCTACTATAATTCCCAGCTTTATTGACAGCAACCGTAGTGCCACTTGAGGAGAACCATCTGCAGCCACCATCCCACCGAATCTATCGGACGCCTATCGCAAAAAGTCCCTTATAAAGTCATGCTATCCCCGTTACATGGCGACATTCCTTATTTCGCACTCTAAGACTAACAGGTCCAACAGCTGCTCTCGCTCGCACCTTGACAACAACGGGTATTGATGTGTGCCGTGTGTCCGAACGGGGAGCAATGACACTAACGGGGTTATTGAATTTAAAAAAAAAAAAAAATTGCACCCTGCTTATCCTTTCATTATTGGGTGCACGCATCCTGAGATGCCGATGCAGCACTCACTGGTCAATCTGGTGTAGGTATTATTCTAAGCTCCAAGCCTGCACCATTGTTGGTTGATTGGATTCCGGTAAACAGCCATTTATGTGCAGCCTATTTGACGACATCAGCTAAGGTTGATTCACGAAGTAATACAAATCGCTGCTTGTTTGTGATTTTCACTTCTGCTCCCACCGACTGCAGTCCAAGTGTTGTCAAGGACACTTTCTATCACGAACTGAACGCGCTACTACGCAGTGTTACTAGTTCCGATATTATAGTACTTGCAAGGGATATGAACGCACAAGTAGGGCGTATGAGCTCTTCAGAAGCTCAGCTGGGTAGTAATTATGGGCTTAACTTCAAACGGACGGACAACGGTGAGCGTCTGCTGCAACTGTGTACGGAGCACCAGTTGTTTCTTACTAGCACTGCTTTTAGACAGTGAGCGCCGAAGTGCCACTTGGCGTCATCCTGTAGCTGGTCAGCGATGGACCCAAATTGACCACATTGGCATAAGTTACAGATAGCGTATTTCCATCTTGGATTTCCGCTCGTACTGGAATATCTGCGTCGACTCTGATCATGCCTTGATGCGCTGTCGTTTTTCCATGAACATTACTGAGTGGCGCACCATGCGTCTCCTCCGATTGGCAACTGAAACATTGTCTCAAGCCTCGGTCAGACAAACCTGTCAAGACGCACTGCGTACCGAATTTTCGCTCCCTTTTCCTAATGACACTGCTTTTGTGGAATAGGATGTCGGTCGCCATGCACGACGCGAAAGCATCTGCTTGTGGCACTATCAGTCGTCACCGCACCAGTCACTGGATATCCGAGGGGTCGGTGAACCTGTTGGAATCTAGAAGGTACATCTGGGTTGGCTCTGAGCGCAATGTGACTAGACGGGCTATTAGGCGTGAACTAAAGCGGAGCCGACGTGCTAACAAGGAAGCCATGTGGACCAGTAGGGCTTAAGGTAGGAACAGTCGGCAACTACCACAAGCTCGTCCAGCTGATCCGCACCACTGGTTCTGCGAAACCAGACGTCAGTGAGAGAAACAGAGACAGCGTGGGTGCACTGATACACACAATAAGAAGCACCGTATGGTCACTGAGCGGAACATTTTCATGATCACTTCAGCTGGCCCTCTGCTCCCGGACTTCTTCCTACTCATGTCGGCCGGTGGCCGAGTGGTTGTCACGTTTGCTTTCCAACCATAAGGTCACCGGTTCGAATCCGCGTAGGGGTGGGCGTCCTCGCGGTATACTCAGCCCGCGCGCGACTGGTGGTGGTCGCACGGCAGCGAAGCGCCGTTACGGCGTATAAGCTGACACATTTCATTTCATTTCATTTCATGTGATGCAGAACGAGCTATGGACGGTTAGTTTTGAGGCTCCTTCGCAGGCCGAGGTCCGAAACAGCATCACAGCCCTCGCTCCTTTTTTAAAGATGGAGGTGAGGTCCTCTGAAAAGCACTGACCTTATTCGAACGTATCTGAAAGGAAGAGATTGTCCCGGCTAATTGGAGCGAATCAATTATAGTGGTAATATACAAGTAAGGCAGTCACACAGATAGTACTAACCACAGGGTATTAGCCTAACGCCAGCTGTGACAGAATTACTTGCCTCGATTCCCTTTCGTCACCTCACTGTGGAACAGGAATCTTGAATTAGGGAAGAGCAGGCCGGTTTACGCCCAGGGCGTGGCTGTATAGACTATATATTCACTTTGCGGCAGGTGCTAGAGCAGCGCCACGCATATCGCAGACCGACAATAGCTGGGTTTCTCCATTTCAAAAGTGCGTTCGATTCAGTCCATCGATCCATTCTGTTCAAAATGCTTGCGCTTAAAAGTCTTCCTACGAAACATGTGAACATCCTACCTGCTCTATACTCGAACACCACAGGCTGCGTCAGGGTCTACGCTGGCCTGCCAGATAACTTTCCGACGACAAGTGGCGTTCCTTAGGGTTGTCCGATTTCCCCATTTTTGTTCAACTTCATCGTGGATTCTATCATGGAGTGTTCCCTTGAGGAATCTCATGATGTAGGCGTTGAGGTCCTGCCTGGTGAAAGGTTAGTTGATCTTGATTATGCGGACGATATCGTCTTGCTTTTCGACGATGTTGCAGCGGCACTATCAACCCAGAATGGCCTGTCTCGAGTGGTCTCATTATTTGGTATGCACTTCGCACCTTCAAAATGCAAAGTGTTGCTGCAGGACCACCAGCCACTTTATGACCCCTTGGCCCTTACTAACGAGAACTCGAGGTAGTTGATCAATTCAATTACTAGCAGCTGCATCAACAACGATGGGCGCATAGAAACTGAACTCAGTTCACGGCTTGAAAAGACCAGAACTCCCTTCTTGAACATGCGGCATTTTTGGCGACAGTAGGGTTTCCCTCCGTCTGAAAGGCCATGCATACAAGGCCACAGTGAGGGCCGTCCTGCTCTGTGGTAGTGAAACTTGGCTCCTTCGGTCTGAAGATTTGAGGCGCCTTCAAGTCTCTGATCATCGTTGTCTACGAAGCATTGTTGGTGTCGGATGGCACCAGCGTGTCCGCAACGATGATGTGCGTATGCGAGTGCTAGGTAGTGATAATCATGCTAGCTCGTTAGAACAACAGATGGCAGTGAATAGGTTGCTTTGGCTTTGGCACGTGTTAGGTATGCCTGGTCACCGCTTACCTAGGAGGGCCTTGTTTAGTCTGCCAGGTGTAGGGTGGCGCAAGACTCGAGGTGGACAGAACTTGACTTGACAGTGGGAAATGAAGTCACTGACAACCAAACTGGATGCCGTTGGTCAGTCTCGCCTTCCGGGCTGGAGTCCACGTGACTCGCCTTGCGCTTGGCTCGAGTCTTTACAGTACATGGCTCTCAACCGACACCAGTGGCGCGTCTGCTGCCATCTCCTAATTGGATTGCCTGTTTAAAGTGTGTTTACTGTTGAGTTATCTTCGGGGTAATGGCTGATTATGACGCGTGGCAGTGAAAGCCGTAAGGAAGCTGTCTCGCCGATGCCGCCTTATCGTTGCACGATAGTCAGCTGTTTGTGACGGTATGTTGTTAACTCAAGATGTAGGCGCCTTGACCCTGAATGTTTGTTTAGGGCATTAAGGCTTTCAGGTAAGTCCCCTTTCTCTCCCTCTTCTTATTCTTTATTTCATAGGTCCTCATGGTTGTATGGCAGCGAGGCATCACTTCAGCTGGCTGATGTACAGATGATGTTGAGTCGCGGGCTCAGTGGCGCTTATGCATTGGGTTTTCTGCACCTGGTTGTTCATATTTCATGCTGGTTAATTTTACTCACTTTCTTAACCCTCTTTCCTGTTAATTATTCACAACTTGCAGGCACAAGTTGTGGTAATTGAATCCACCGCATTTCTTCCAACTGAGTTTAGTTAACAGTCCAGTGGATTTTCATATAAGCGTACGCTCTATAATTAGAGTGTTTGGGTATCACACTGCATTTTATTACACACACATGGTACTCCAGCGTAATGTGTTTTTTAATTTAGCTTATCTGCAACTATAATTTACGCTAATGCATGGAAATGGGCGCAAGCGGGAAAGTTATCGTATCGTTCTTTGCAAAAATCGTCCCCTACTATAACTTGTTAGGCTTCTTTTTGTGTTTATATCCCATTATTAATATGCTGTTGTTTTGTCGCCCTGCTGGTACACATTTTATTTTGTTCGTCTTTGCTGTTGCAATTCTTTCCTTGACTAGCCTATGAGACCTGTGGATCATACGCTATTTCATCCACCACAAACCATTATTTCTGTTTCACACGTTTTTGTGCTATTCACCTTTTAGTTTCGGCTGTTGTGAGTTACTGCTGCCTATGGGCCGTCGTAAGCGATGTCAATTTGGCTTGCGCTGCGTAAGTTTACCACGACCATATTTGTGTTTGGCATTTGTCACATTGTTCATCTCGTTGTTGAAAAGGCTTATGCATATTATTACATCGATGCATGTTTCTGAGTTTCTCGATTGAACTCTTTTACTGTATCTTCAATTTACTATTTGGAGGCCATTATGAACAAGAATGACATGAGCAGTACGCCGAAACACAGTTCCGATGCTTTGCTGCCACGCAACCAGGTTTGTGATCCTTAATGCCGCGCGCCGGAGTTGAGGACTAGGGCAAGTCTGTCATGTTCCTTTTCAGGTGTAGTCTGAAGTAGATCTGTAATATGCTTTGAAATTACAATGGAGTAGTAGGGAGTAAGGTGGTGTAAGTCGAATTTCTCACAAGTGGACACAGTCTGACGGCCAGCAATAAATCGGAATACTTGTAGCTCGGGTGATCTGTTCAGATTTTGTTCTGTTCTCCGAGCTGAACAGTTTCGTTGCAGACGTTTGCTTATAACGCACTGAGGAAGTCACCACGACTGGTGATGAAACGTCTGCAACGAAACTGTTCAGCTCGGAGAACAGAACAAAATCTGAACAGTCTGACGGTCATCATCATCATCATTGCGGGTTCTAGCGATACACGAGGGCATATGGTATGCACACCGTCTGTGATTCCCAAAAGGATGAACTGATCGCCTAGTTCTTTTCCGGGTCTGTGACAGTCGGTTGGCTGGGTCAATTCGACTTAACTGCTGGAATTTTTAGAACATGTTTAAATCCAATCAGTAATTTGCTATCTCAGAAACCCAAGGACCATGAGTATGCCCATATTTTAGACAATTTTCATTAGTAACCAAAACGTAAGCTCTACTCATATTCAAAATGCTGTGTGGATTCACGGCGCTGGCAAGGGAAGACCTGATCCGGACGACCAAACACTATCCTCTGCACGGCAGTGGAGGATGGGTCGGGCTGTATCGCAGTTAGGTTTCCATTCGTAATGGTCGGCTGCCGTCCCTCATGGCTCAGTGACATAAGTTACTGACTACTTGGCGTTGGCCTCTAGCGGTCATGGGTTCGATCCCAAGTAGGGGACCGAAGTATAGGCACCACTGACGAGCCCCAATAGGGCGAAACGCACGTCTAGTGCTTTTCCGGATTGATAGCCTACTTATGTGACTTGGCATCTAATTGCGATGAACCAAATCGAATGATGCCCAAATCCGTCCAGTCATTAGTACTTTTCTAATGTGCCACAAACACTTGATATCGAGTGGCCCAATGTGCGATCTCTGGAGCATTTTTCACCTGACTGGTGTGCTAATCAGTTGGAGAATGGATCATCACGTCGACTGGAGCACTGCTGTCCTTGAAAACTGATCCACTCCTTTTCCCAAACATTCGCAAATCCTCGGGGCTTATCCTCGATTTTTTGGGTTCCACTCGCTGTATAACTAACATTTGCGGCAACGTCGAGCACAACGGGACAATTAGCGACAATGCGAATGGCCACGACAGTTGGCTGTCGTCTGTTACAGTCGTATCGTCCGTGAGCTGTCCTTGGATCGGAAACGTTTCTGTTACCCCTATGCATCCGATTTTTGAAATTCATCTACCTGAGCGCCGGATTTCGCTTAGTCCGCATATTCTGCCTTGCACTTTCAACCCTTTCGAATCACTAAGTATACAACACGCAGGCCAACGATTAATATCACTGACCAAATGGTATCAGTGGTGTCATATCTGACGCATCTCATCCTCCGTCACCATAGACGTTACTGCAGGTCAGGCGATAGTGGTAGCTCTCACGGGAACTATTTTTATCGTTGCTTTCCGATATCTAGTATGTTTCTATACAAACGCGTAAGTTAAACTGAAACGTCCGCCTCAGCCATATTGCTCCTAAACGCGGGGCGACGGTTTTTTACCTCCACACACCGGGAAATCTTTTCTAGGTGCGTTCATCACATCCCGTACCCTGCAGTTTACTGCGCAGATATCTCAGCAGATTAAGCTCCAGCATCATCCTAGTCGGAAATCAGAAATTAGTCGTCGGCCGTCTATCTTCCAAACTTAACCATGGGAGGCAACCGTTACTAGTTAGTGGCCCAGCTCCATTAGTGTAAAGTACGGGCGCCGTGTGTTTCCTGCAACAGTAAGCGAGCTCAGTTCTTTTCTTCCGCCTGTCTGAATCAATTTATGTGCTGCAGCACACCAAACCGCATTGGGTCGTTTTCATTTGCTTGTAATTACTATTGGCTTATGATGCGGTCTAAGCACAAAACTGAATGTGAGCTATCCCTGGCGGCCACCTATAGAGCTCTTCACCGACTCCAGAACTTCCGGCTGCTTTGTGGGTCTAGTCATTTGACTCAAAAATGTAGTCAAGTCAAAATAAGCTTTATATATCCAGATAGGTACATTTTCATCGCTTTACAATATTGTCAACAGATGACCTAAAATACATTATTAGAAGTAACTTTGTAGGAATGGATAAAAGGACACTGTGTAGAAGTATTACTTGAATAAACGATCTGTGTAAAAGCGCAACAATTAAACAGTTCAGGACAAAATAATTTATAGCCAGCGTTGCAAGCTAGACTTTTAATCGGGACCGTCCATCTGCACGTGCGCAGTATCTTGAATTTTTTCAAAGTTTACGCAGCGGTGATGTTGGAACTAGCTTGACTAATATCAGTGTTGAATTATTCTGAAAAAAACTGTATCCATAGCGATACTGTAAAAACTATGCTCAGTAATAACGGCACGGCCGATTTAAAGACCCCGCCAGCATTTAGGGTGAGTCCTTCAAGAAAACCTTTAATCGTTCCACTCTTGTTTATTAAACTCCTCGAACAGTTCCCACTCTTGAAATCAGCGACCCAAGAACGCTATCCACTTTCAAACGCGGACTCTTCTCTCTTTCCTTTCCTTTCTTTTTTCATCCTCTTCCATCCTTAGCTTCTGAGGTTCATTCATCGTCATCCTTCATTCCACACACTGGATAACATGACATTACCACTGACTTATCTAGCCAGTTCTCCCTCCAAACTTAGAATACCCATCACCTTCAACTTCCGAACGCCGTCACATTGGGCAACAGACAAGTATCAGTCTTTGTGTTGTTGACTCGCGCTTTGTCCTCCAGACAGGCTGACAGGACAGCAGCATTCTAATGCACCCGCGACTCACTGGCTGTGGATCCGACCGGTGGCCGTGTGGTCTGCATGCCTGGCTTGCAATCATAAAGTCATCATTTCGAATCTGCGTAGGGGCGGGCGTCCTTGCGGTATACTCAGCCCACACGCGACTGGTGGTGGTAACGCGGCAACGATGCGCCGTTCCGGTGTACAGCGAATGATTCATTCATTCATTGATCCGGTGATACCTTTGTGGTAACCTCAAGTTTCCAGCTCAACCACTACATGCTTGTGCTTATCTTGACATCCATTCCGCACTTCTTTCTCTGTTCTCTATTGCGCTAGATACGACCGCATAGCCCTACTCTGTCCATAAGTTCCAGCTTAATGAAGATTTATCTGCATACTACCGGCAATGCTGATGAAGCACACCTGCATATTCTTGCAACAGCCGTTTATCAATGGTTTCCCCAGTACTGCGGTGTACCAACAAACAAATGATCTGATTTTACATCAGTACATTCATCCCTCTGCTGTATCCGATGGTCAGATATTCAGAAAATCGTATTCGCTAGCATTTCGATGTAAGAGCGATAGCGTAGTGTTGTGTGTAAATGAAAATGAAGAAGTCATTGTACGGCCGAAGGTTTCATGTCGAGGTGTGTTCTCCCAAAAGAAACGCTTAAGTGTTTGTTGTGTTTTCTATGGCCCCCCACTACACACGGCCACTATTTATTGACTTACGTTTATCATTTCTACGGCTCTGTTGTTGTAATTGCTTTTATCGAATCCCTCATCATCACTTGTTTGGACTTTACTTCTAGTCCCACTAATTTATGTGTTGGATCCATCGAGTCTCCTTGCGCATCATAAGCAGTGCTTTTCTTTTACGACTGCGGATCAGAGAATTGGAAATAAAACCGTGGTACTTCATCGGATAGGCAGCTAGAGAAACCGCACTTGACATCACCACTTCAGTGTTTGCTTGATTCTATCTTATGACTTTAGACTATTTACACTTGCTTTCATACACAAAATTCATTACACAGTCGTAGATTCTTAGCAGTGAGTTACCTCCTCAAGTGTTTCTTTTCAATGCACGAACTCTTCAAACAATTTTTCAGTTAGCGAAACAGTTCAGTACCTCTTGCCAGATCTATCCGGGTACTAATGAAGCGGTCCTTAAGACGTTCATGGCCTCCTGTCAGAAATAGCGGGTCTTACGTTCCTATCTTTTGAATGAGGTACACATGTACATGTTGGCATTTTCTTGATTCAGGCTTTTCCATCTACTTCACAAAACGGCACCGGTTTTGTTACAGATCAATTTCCACCCACACCTTGTAAAACTGTCAACGCTGTTACCACTTTATCACTTAAATTATTACATATTTCAAGTTTCGGCGGAGATCCATATTTGGTTTCATTGGTGTTGGAGTTTTTGGGTTTCTTTTTTTACAGTTAGGACTATTTTTTGATTGTTTGGCATCTGTTAGGTCGTTAGTCTCCTCCATATTAATTTATTCCGAAACGTCATTTTGCAAGCTTGCGAGTCTAACTGACTTGTTTCTTCCTATAACCTTAAATTCCTTCATCCTTTAGCACTTGTTGTCAATACCCATCATGCCCAACCGCATACGTTCTTTTACCGTCCTTTGCAGTTCTTTTGGCCATCTTTTGGCTGCTCTGCTTGATTTTCTCTCTTGCACATCGTCATGCAACACTTCTTTCTGGACCCGTTCTGTTGGTCACTGCACATCCTGACGACGAGTCCATGTTCTTCGCTCCCACTTTACTTCACCTGCACGCCGCAGGGGTGCAGACACATTTGCTGTGTTTCTCAACCGGCAACCACGAAGGTTTGGGTTCCATCCGGCAACAAGAGCTGAGTGACGCTGCGAAACGATTACACCTACATCACATTTGCGTCATTGATCGGCCCACGGAATTTCCAGACGATCCTCATCAACCTTGGCCACTGTCTTCCATCGTGGATGAGGTGCAATCCACCTGTTCACTTTGGGGCATACAAACAGTGATCACTTTCGACGAGTACGGTGTGAGCGGTCACAGTAATCACCGCGCTCTCTCTTCTGCACTTCGGTGTGCGCAACAGAACTATGACCACACAAGCCCTCTCCCTAGTATTTACTACCTGCAGTCTTTGCCGATAACCCAAAAATATTGCCCTATAATAGACGCATTTATTAGTATAATCATTTCCAAGCACCAGCTTATTTTATGCACTCCATGGCACTTATTAACCACTCCTTACACCGCCATGATATCCCATTGGTCTCAAATGGTTTGGTTTCGATGGTTTTATATCCTCTTCTCTGTCTACATGTACAAAAACGTGCTCATATCAAGTCACTAAACTGTATCGTTGGGTTTTGCCGTTCAACCATAGATCTCTTTGTGCAATCTCGGCCTTTTTATCTTCGTCTGTCACCAACAATCGTATCAGCTCATCTTGGTACTTGTGGACTCCGTGTGGTCTACTTAGCCACGTTTTGCTACTGCGACTGTTTTATAGCCATACTACTTTTCCTGCAACTTTTTGCATACCATTTTGTCCTAATGAATAGGCTTTGTTTATTGTCGATGATGCGAGACACGTGTGTATCGGCACGATTGGAAAAGTGCATGCGCATAAAGAACTTTGATCATAGATGGTGGATCAAGAGAATTGAAAATCAGTCCATATGATGGCGTTTGGAAGGACAGCAAAGGCACAATAAAATGTTCACTATAACGAAATGATGTTAGCTGATTTGGTCACCGCGTTTTCCCTCATTATATATATATATATATATATATATATATATATATATATATATATATATATATATATATATATATATATATATATATATATGCTTATCTATATTGCGTGTCGGTATTTCCTTATGGTCACTTTCACGGTGTGGCTCCATTTAGGTGGCAATAAGCTTTTTACCGGAACACGCTCCTAGTCCCTCAACAAGCGGTTACCTCTGACTCATGACACCACATCTTCTTTCGTAGGCAGGCAATTGAGAGGACTTTCTCTTGCCTTTTACTTCATTTTCGCTCCATAAGTCGTGGCTAACAGCTAAAATTCGGAATCACTGTGCCATTCTTAAATAGCGAGATGGCGCATGTACTACAACTGTGTAGAACGACGAAATGGTTTTTTGGTGAATGCAACAACCGCTACATATCAGAAAGATACTGGCGCTACGGATAAGACTGGTATGTTTCGCATGGGACGCGATCAGCCTGTCTAAGAGTGACATTGCGTAAAAACCCATCGTGGTTAAGGAAGACCATACCGATGGTATGCTACTTTGAACAGTATCCACACATAGGTGCCATGACTTTTTGGGAATGGTGCACACTTTCACGTGTAAGCGACTGAGAAACCCGGTAGACACCGAATTTGACTTTGCAGCCTTGACACGGAGACTTCGGCAATCTACTCTATGAGTTACTGGAAAGGGAAGGGAAGCTATAACAGTGCGATGTGAGAGTACAGCTTGCCTACTCCGCGGTGCCAATATAAATGCAGAAAGTACAAGGTCAACAGAGAATTGGTGCCTAAATACCGCTGAAGACAATTTATCGCGGTGTATCACCGATAGCACATACCCTGCACCGCCAGATGAAGGTCATGGGATTAGTAACTGCATATCCACTCCTTGAGGAAATCCCTGCACTTCGAAAGGACAAAAATCATTTCCAATTGTATTACTTACATCTCCAATCTACGCAGCATGTTCCTTGCAACCTGCAAGAAATCACAGACTACGGCCACGCCGTCGATACAGTCAAAATTTCGAAGTCGGTCACTTAGCGACAACTCGACTCTACTAGACCCACAGTTTCCCAAGGCGCTGTCATCCATGGCGATGTTAAACAAGTTGGCTGGTACTGGGCACCGATGCGTCGTACCGCCGATAACACCTAAGTGTTGTGAATGATTATCATTTGTCCACACATTACCACAGATTAAAGATTAGATCGTTTGAGGGATGTTGCAAAACTTCTCAAGCACTCCTCATAACCAATTTTGAGTTGAGCACAGTTCGTATGTTCCGAAACATGACGATTGCATTTCTACCGTAAGCTCGGTGATGTTAGATTATCTGATTCATCGAAAGATAGCATCAATACATAACTGACCTCAATGAAATCCAGTTTCCTCATGTATGCGCTGTTTGCGTAACCGACCACTTTGAATGCAATGCATAGGAGGCCATTTTCTCGTTAACTGGAGCCTCCTATTTTATCATCATTTTCGAAGGTGGGTGTGATATCAACTAAGATCCTATCGGACTGGAGGGTTTACACTATTCAAACCTCGTGAACGAAGGTAGTAAGCTCACATTGGGGAGACGGACCTTTGTCATTGGAAAGTGGCGGAGTCAGTTCTTTCCGGTCAGGAGATTTGTGCACTTCAGAAGCAGAGGCTCGCAGTAAACCTCGTCTTCGAATGAGATTGAGTTGCGTGCACACCAGAGGTCAATTTAGGTCAGGAATGGAAACTCCGTGGCGCCAGTGGTCAGTTGAACCGCTGTCCGAATTGCCCCGCCCAACGCACAAGCGGACGTTAATGATTGGAAAGTGACCCACCATCAGTCTCACATAGCACTTCGCTGACGGTTGGCTGCTTGTTGCCAACACTACGGAAGAGGATTACATGTAGCGCTGCACTGTTTGTTATGTGCTGTATAACCTCAGATTGCAACGTATTGTTGCAGGAGTAGGCCGACATGCTTTTAGTTCTCGATATCACTGAGGAACCTGTGGAATTGGTGCATCGGTTCACGTACCTCGGTAGCTGTGTCTCCTCTGGTCTTCACATCGCTGAGAAAGTTACCTCACATATTAGCGAAGCCCGTTCGGCTTTCTAGAGGCTCCTCCATTTATGGGGACAGCGGGATCTCAAGTTATCAGTCAGAAGTAGGTTGTATAATGCTGCAATAAAGCCTGTGTTACTGTATGAATCAGAGACCTGGCTAGTTCGCAGTACAGACATTAACTGATTGGCCGTATTTGCTGAATATTACTCGCATCTGGTGAGAACACCGAGTAACAATACTGAGGTTTTGAACAAGAAACCCTCTTTGGCTTCATTGGACTGTCTACTAAAGTTGAACCGCCTTGGTTGGCTTGGTAATTTCCTCCTCTGGATACTCCTTGACCGCTTTCCTCGAAATGTATTCTGTACTGTCGCTTCACCAAGTTGGGCGAAACAGCGAAGTGGCCGACCGATGATGATGTGGCATAAAAGCATGTAGTTAGTGATTGAGGGATAATTGTTCAGGCGGATGCTTACCGCGTGCGTGCGTGAGGGGCTCCAGATAGTTCATACCAGTGTTTGGAGACTCTCTCAGAGATGACACACTCACGAAGTCAGTGGCGTTTCTGCATTTTCGGTATCTTGCGTTCACCAGCTAATTTTACATCCCAGTTAAATGTATATCTTTTATTCATTTTCTTCCTTGTTTTCTGTCTGCTTTCTAAGTGCTTTTCCTCACTGTTGCTATTTGTTAATATCCTGAAGACGCTAGTCGCGGCAATTTGTTCATCGTCGTCTAACCGGTCCGTAGTTTTACGGACCACAATTCTGCCTTGTAATTCGAGGGCTCGGATTCTAGCCTATGTAGGGTACTGGGCAACCATCGCAATAGTTTTAGCCCATGAGCGACTGGTGGTGGTTGCGCGGCAAGTAAACGTCGTCGGCTAATACTTTTTCTAACCGTACTGAAACGATTCAGACAGATAATAGAGAAGAGGGCGCAATTTCCCGGGGGTGGGGCAACTTCTTTCGTCTAAATTATGCTCTGTTAGCCAGGCCTCGTGATCTTCCTTGTGCATCTTCCTGAGCTCGGTCGGCGTTGGTGCAGCGGGTTAAATTCAACACCAGCAGAATTTGCTCTACTATTTCCGGAAGGTGAACATTGCGAGTGGAATTCTATCGGTCAAGGTTAACCACAGTTTATAATGGCTGCAATAGTTACTATTTGATTGGTTTGGTTGGATGAAAAAGCAAATTACTCGGAAAACAATGTTGCGTCTACGAACTAAACCAAGTGTTGGTGGACTCGCACGGACATCGAGCCGAGACGACTGGTTTCTGGTGATAAGTTGACGCGCTGTCGGAAGTGCTGTTGCGTTTTGTAAATGTATGAGCACGTCATGGCGCTTTTAAATGTTATTACTATATTCGCAGAGATATAGGCCTTAAGCATCTGAGATAAAATGGTTTGGTTAAATCTCCCTAATGTCCTCCGGAAATGGCTAAGGATGCTTTATCGGTCCGATGTGAACAGCCAAGATCACCTTGTACAAACACTCCTAGGTCGCGTTCAATAAAAATGCACTGAACAAGTTGATTTCCCAAGCTTTACCCAGGAGTGCATTGACTGCGAATCGGCTGCGTTGAAATGGAACAAGTTCTAAATCTTCCACTGATATGCCCTGTGCCAGTGATAACTGCTGTAAAGCTATTCATGCGGCCACCTTAATAAGCAGGCGTGGCTATCGAGCGTTTAGGCATACATCTTTCGGCCGCAGTTAAATCGATCTTCGTAGCAGCTACGCTAAAGTGCGCATTTCCAACGGAACCACTCGCTCGTTGACGAAGCCTGCATAGTTGTTTATTAGATCGAGTGCGCCTGTGGCGCAGTGTATTGATCGCCCGGCGCGACACTTGTCCAAACAGGTGAGTGGGTGCTGCTTATTTGGTTTGTGTCAAGGTTGCGCTGACGCCATTACAATGTGTACGATGTGTTTGGATTGATCCCCCTAATCCATCCATGCTTGCACATTAAATTCCAACACATTGTGCGCCTTGACAAGAGCCCGAGTTATTCCAACAATTGACCATCTAGGCTTTTGTGCCCAAAATGGAAAGATTTATGATTGACATATCCTTTCAATTATACGTTTGATGTACTATGCATAGGAACACTGTGGTGTAACAGTGGGTGGAATACTTCGATTTTTTATGATGCTAAAGCGATGAGTACCCAGCATTTGATGAGGAACATAAAGTCTGAACTTGAAGAGGACGGAAAATGTTGATCATGATCGTGTCGTATTGTGCGATTGATACATGGGAACAGATCATTTCAGTGGGCGTCTGATCATCCTGGAAAATATTCAGAACATTGCCCAATAAACAGCTAAAAGTGGTAATGTAGTATTTTGTACCTCAGTTTGCAGAAGTTCACCCTAAACATTTGGCAAAAATTATGAACAGAGACAGGCATGTTACTTAGATTATAGAATCTGTGGGTTCTACGCTTTCTGATGTAACGACTTAATTGACACATGCGATCAGGATGTTTTCTGTCCTGTGCAATCACGATTGTTGTTGAAGGACTATCACATGAGCGAAGAGGCAGATCCCAATCGATGGACACCCGATCCAATACTGTTCCTTCCAACGATAGGGTCATGCGGTGCCTTAGTAAGCAATTTTCCACCACTGAATGCTATCGTTTT